ACACACGCACACACGCGTGCAAAGGGCTGTTGCTGGTCCTGGTGTCCGCATCGCGCGGGCGGAGATGAGGATCCAATGCACCCAACGTCTGCGGGGGTGGGGGAGGAAGGGCGGGCGGCGAGTCCGCTTCAGAGGCTTTTCTTACCGTTCCCCCGACGAGACTCTCCAGCTTCCCTCGGCGCGGGCGCGTCCTTCCTTCCCCCTTTGTCTTGGGCGCATCTAAACAAGAGCCGGCTTGGACGCGCTCCAGCTTAAGTGCCATTTGCGTAAAAGGGCACGGAAGGGGCGATGCGGGCTTTACCGCAACTCCGCTGCAGAGCTTGCGCTGGCTTTCAGAAAGGCAGCTGTGAAAGGAGGAGAAAGCCGTTTATACGTTGCATTCCTATATGGTGCTTCCATGCAAAACACATTGGCCCCTCTCTTTATAAAACTGAAAAACAAACACGCAAAGGCAGGTATGTCCCCGCCACCCACGAAATAATACTTGGTTCCGTGTTGAAATAACATTTGTTGCTCATGTTTATATGGCTGATTTCTCGTATAACTGTTTTCCCGAAAAGCAGCGAGTAATTAAGCATTGCCTGATCTCCTACCTTATACAACAGGGCACGTGATCAGATTTTCCTCTCTGTCTCTCCCCTCCTTTTGATACATTTAGATACCGCAGATGTAAAGTTTGTTACATAAAATAAACATGGCCCTTGACTGTTAGAACAAAGGAAAGTTTTCTCCAAAATGTTTTGGAGAAAAACAAGAGAGACTGGAAACAAACATTGCTGAGCGGGAGAAAGTTGACTAGCAGTAGGTTCTGATAGAAGCAAAATTAAAAAAGGGGGTACCTTGTTTTGAAATTTTACCTTGTAACATGCCTTAAGGAGATTGCTTTGAAGAGTGGCATAACATGATTGTAAATAAAAAGTAGATCTGTCACCACCATCATCTTGCCAATAGTATAAATTATGTTTTGTGTAGACAGAGTAAGAGGATGGGTCCGTGCCCTAGGTAGCTTACATTCTAAAGTTCAACTGGGAAAATAATAAAAGAAGTGAAGGGGGAGGCAAACAAGGTGTCTTTAGAACAAGGTGTCTTTAGCTGCATATACAGTTAGTATTTGCTGTTTTGTTAGCCTTTGCCTAGAACTGCTGGATAGCTCAGTGATTTAGGTATCCGCCTGCAGAGGTTGGGCGAGCGCTCATTTCCCACTGTGACTCCTTGACAGGTCCTGGGTGATTCGTATGGTCTCTTTCAGTTGTGCAGTTCTTAAGCTGATGATAATGAGGATGATTAGCCATGCATGACACTTGACTTTCTATCTCTGGCTGACAAGTGGCTAAACCTTTAAACTGACTGTTGAAAAGCTTTGTGTTTGAGATGGTAGCTGGTGCTGAAAATTCTTGTCTGTGGCATTTGGTTGGCATCCATGCGTGCACAACAGGACTGTGGGTGCTGCTGTCCTCAAGCTTTTATCACACAGGTGTGAATTAGTCTTTAATGTGGAAGCGAATCCGTTTTCTTGATTTTATCCTTTTAGACTTCGAACATCAGCACTTGAAAATAGCTACAGAGCATCAACACTCAGAACTACAATACAGATAAAGATACACTATGTGGGAAGGGAAGGCTCATAGTGCCTCAGGTCCAGAATGTTTTCCTTTTATCATTTAAAAAAATACTCTCTGCAATCCAGTTCAGTATTTAATCCAACATAAGTGCCGTTGTCTAATTTAGAGCTGCCAATAGCTGCTAATTAACAAGTCCTCAGTTGAATTCTTATGTGCCAACGGCATGACTGCAGATGTGACTAGGAATTCAGATGAGTGTTCATTAATTAGAGTCTGTTTCTCACTTCAGCTTAGGCCATTGCATTCATGCTGATGGAAATAGTGAATTGGATTCTGGCCACTTAACTTTCTGATCTGCAGGAATGCAGATTTTTTTTTATAACTTAAGTGATTCAAAATTAAAATTCTAGTATACTTTTATGGTTTCAATCTGGTGTTTAGTCCCAACTAGAGTTGGCCTGCTTGAACCAATGGGACCTAAGTACTTGTGTAGTAAGTGCCGTGCATTTAGTAAATCAACAATTGGATTTAGCCCTTAGTGTTCAACAGTTTGTCCTGCTCTGATAGTTACCTTTTAAGGTAAAAGGTTGCTGCCAGTAAACAACATTCCTGCTACCCAATGTTCAAATAATTCATTGGAAAAGAGATGGGCAATTAAATATTAACAGTTCATCATAGTTGCCTTGACACCGAATGTAGCAGATTTGAACTATTATGTTGTAGTTACCCCACAGGTACATCTGCCAAGAATTTCTTCTCCTCACTACACTTCTTTTTCTGTTTTTACCTTGAATGAATTGTTGCGGCAACCTGTACTTTTTGTTTATTGTTACATGACTGAAGTATTATAACCTTATGCATTGTATGTGTTTTTCAGATTTCTTTGTCTTAGTACAGTACTCCTTTATTGGTTAGCGTCTCAATCCAGGAAATTCTTTGCATCCTGCAATAAATCTAAACAATCTGCCATAAATAAGATAATATATATTGGCAGGCTGTTACTGAGTCACTGATAATTGAACTGTTGCTTCATTGTACTAACTTTCCTATCTCTGCCTGAAAATCCAGGAGAACTGACACTATTATATTTTTTCTATAAATAATTTCAATACATTCAGTGAGACTTTATTCTAAATATGTGTGAATGATACTGAGAAGATATTTTTGGATATATCTGCATTGCTAAACAAAAGAGAGGGAAAAAAAGCAAAAAAGATCTGTACTGAGAGATGTAATAGGGAGGTTCATAATGAATCCTAATAGTATTGATTCAAAGTTGTCATAGAAAAATCACAATAATAACAAATCTTGCTTTTTAATGTTGATTGAGCATGCATTTTGTAGAAATGTTTATTTAGCTTTTATTCTTTCTTTCTTATTTGTCACAGATGATTTTGAAGAGGAAAAGCCCAAGAAGAGGAAACTCTTGCCCAAAGCTGCTTCTGATGAAAAGAAGAAAAAAGAGGGTGAGAGAAATATGCCTTCTCCACCCTGCAGAAATTCAAGGCAAAGAAAAGGAACACAGAAGGTGAAGGAGGAAAACAAAACTCTAGAAAGTCAACAAGCCTGTAAAAAAGGGAAGAGATGCAGGTGAGTGAATCTATAGGTCTAGTTCACTCATATACTGATAAGCCAGAATGACTTTGAATTCTGGTTTATTGTTACATGCCATTACTGCTCACTGGACACAGTACTTCACAGTAACATGCTCTTCCCTTATGTTGTTTGTTTAAATTTAAGGGGAAACATGCTCAGAACTGTTGATAATGTGATGAACTGCTCATGTTACATAGTGACTGTTCACTCATCCACTTCCAATAGAGTTTGACTGTCTTCCACTAATACCAGTGGGACACTATGGGTTTCCCTGTTCTCTGCCTTTTAGTTTAGTTGACATTGAAAGCAGTTTGGCATCCATTCATTGCCACCAGTAGGTTTTATGAACAATTATTTTAAAAAATGAAACTTTTTAATGGGAAAAATTGAATACTGCAATGTTTTACCAACTTTTTCCTGCCATGCCACTGAAGAGCACTTTTGTATTGTCTGAATTGAACTTCAGTGTGTTCAGCCTCATTACAGAGATCCAATACTAATTCAGAACTAGAATAATTTATTTGGAGTTAGACTGAAAGGAGAGATGGAGGTGAGTATTAATATAGTGACATGAAATCATACTAGTATACTGTTTAAAAGGGACATGGTATGTTTCGCATGGTGTCACCAATGTACCATGTTGGCGTTTTGCTAAACTGTGGTTTACTGCGATGACAGCCTACCTAGCCCAGATATGTCAATTAAATTTAATTCTCCACCATTTCCAGGAATACCTTGGGTATCACATTTCTTGTTCTTTTCATCCCATTTCCGTTTGTCATTGACGTGTCCTTTTCTTTATTGACTATTGCGTTGAAATCCCCCATGGTGCATATTTTCTGTTCTGTCCTTTGTATAATCAATTCTTTAGTTGAAGGTAAAATTTATGTCGAGATTCATTTGGTGCATATATATTCACCAGTAATATTTTTCTCCCTCATTCTTTTTGCACTTTTAAAAGTAAGTTGCAGAATTCTCCTCGGAAGAAAGAGATGAATATAAAAAACAAATGTACCATCAAAAAGATAGAGGAAGATGCTGAGGATGATGAAAGTGAGGATGAATGGGAAGATGTGGAAGGTAAATGCATTTTTGTTTTCTTCTTTGTAGGCCATTGTTTTCAATCATTTGTTACTTTGGTATGTCATTCTTTGAATTTTTTCTCATGCTGAAATGACTCAGTTTTTATCAAAGGACATCTGAATGTTGATTTCCTTTTGTTAACACTTCAATGAACCCACAGTTTATTTGGTTTCAGATGTGGTAAGCAGTGACTGATAAAACAGAAACCAAAGTTTCTAAACTCTTTGATTATGCTAAAGGAGGAAAGGGGAGTTTGTGAACCTAGGGTCATTCTTGTAATGCTTGTTACATACAGCACTGATGGTACCTGCCTGTTAAATCCAGAGAAGTTTCTCCACACCTTTTACACCAAGACATCTGTATATTGACATTTTGAAATCCTGTTAATAGCTTATTGATACATTACTTGGAATTTTTTATTCTTATGTGCCAACGGCATGACTGCAGATGTGACTAGGAATTCAGATGAGTGTTCATTAATTAGAGTCTGTTTCTCACTTCAGCTTAGGCCATTGCGTTCATGCTGATGGAAATAGTGAATTGGATTCTGGCCACTTAACTTTCTGATCTGCAGGAATGCAGATTTTTTTTTATAACTTAAGTGATTCAAAATTAAAATTCTAGTATACTTTTATGGTTTCAATCTGGTGTTTAGTCCCAACTAGAGTTGGCCTGCTTGAACCAATGGGACCTAAGTACTTGTGTAGTAAGTGCCGTGCATTTAGTAAATCAACAATTGGATTTAGCCCTTAGTGTTCAACAGTTTGTCCTGCTCTGATAGTTAACATAGTGTTTTAAGGTAAAAGGTTGCTGCCATGAATCAACATTCCTGCTACCCAATGTTCAAATAATTCATTGGAAAAGAGATGGGCAATTAAATATTAACAGTTCATCATAGTTGCCTTGACACCGAATGTAGCAGATTTGAACTATTATGTTGTAGTTACCCCACAGGTACATCTGCCAAGAATTTCTTCTCCTCACTACACTTCTTTTTCTGTTTTTGCCTTTAATGAATTGTTGCGGCAACCTGTACTTTTTGTTTATTGTTACATGACTGAAGTATTATAACCTTATGCATTGTATGTGTTTTTCAGATTTCTTTGTCTTAGTACAGTACTCCTTTATTGGTTAGCGTCTCAATCCAGGAAATTCTTTGCATCCTGCAATAAATCTAAACAACCTGCCATAAATAAGATAATATATCTTAGCAGGCTGTTACTGAGTCACTGATAATTGAACTGTTGCTTCATTGTACTAACTTTCCTATCTCTGCCTGAAAATCCAGTAGAACTGACACTATTATATTTTTTCTATAAATAATTTCAATACATTCAGTGAGACTTTATTCTAAATATGTGTGAATGATACTGAGAAGATATTTTTGGATATATCTGCATTGCTAAACAAAAGAGAGGGAAAAAAAGCAAAAAAGATCTGTACTGAGAGATGTAATAGGGAGGTTCATAATGAATCCTAATAGTATTGATTCAGAGTTGTCATAGAAAAATCACAATAATAACAAATCTTGCTTTTTAATGTTGATTGAGCATGCAATTTGTAGAAATGTTTATTTAGCTTTTATTCTTTCTTTCTTATTTGTCACAGATGATTTTGAAGAGGAAAAGCCCAAGAAGAGGAAACTCTTGCCCAAAGCTGCTTCTGATGAAAAGAAGAAAAAAGAGGGTGAGAGAAATATGCCTTCTCCACCCTGCAGAAATTCAAGGCAAAGAAAAGGAACACAGAAGGTGAAGGAGGAAAACAAAACTCTAGAAAGTCAACAAGCCTGTAAAAAAGGGAAGAGATGCAGGTGAGTGAATCTATAGGTCTATTTCACTCATATACTGATAAGCCAGAATGACTTTGAATTCTGGTTTATTGTTACATGCCATTACTGCTCACTGGACACAGTACTTCACAGTAACATGCTCTTCCCTTATGTTGTTTGTTTAAATTTAAGGGGAAACATGCTCAGAACTGTTGATAATGTGATGAACTGCTCATGTTACATAGTGACTGTTCACTCATCCACTTCCAATAGAGTTTGACTGTCTTCCACTAATACCAGTGGGACACTATGGGTTTCCCTGTTCTCTGCCTTTTAGTTTAGTTAACGTTGAAAGCAGTTTGGCATCCATTCATTGCCACCAGTAGGTTTTATGAACAATTATTTTAAAAAATGAAACTTTTAAATGGGAAAAATTGAAGACTGCAATGTTCTACCAAATTTTTCCTGCCATGCCACTCGATTGTCTGGATTGGACTTCAGTGTGTTCAGCCTCGTTACAGAGATCCAATACTAATTCAGAACTAGAATAATTTATTTGGAGTTAGACTGAAAGGAGAGATGGAGCTGAGTATTAATACAGTGACATGAAATCATAGTAGTATACTATTTAAAAGGGACATGGTATGTTTCGCATGGTGTCACCAATGTACCATGTTGGCGTTTTGCTAAACTGTGGTTTACTGCGATGACAGCCTACCTAGCCCAGATATGTCAATTAAATTTAATTC